ATGGACCACTTTGCATTTTGACAAGTTGTTAAGAAAGAACCTCCAGAGGCTGCAATTTTGCCCTTTCTGTGTGTCAGAACCGAAGTCCCATTCAGATTCTATTTCCTCATATTGCTTACTTCTAGGGTAAGTCTTGAGTAGATTATAGAAACAGACTGATCATGGACCTTTATGCTAGCTAAGATTCATTTTATTTCATTAAAAATAAAATTCTACCAGTGTGTTCCTTTCCATTGGTCTGCCCAGATACCTGACAGAACACCTTGACGGAGGAGAACCTTCTTTTGGCTTACGCTATCAGAAGGTACAGTACATGGCTGCTCGGCCCTCATGCACACGAACAGAACGTCATGGTGGTGGGAATAGTCAGGGGAAGAAGACCATTTCACCTCCTGATGGACAGAAAGCAGAAGGTCAGACAGGGACCAAAGGCCTGGCTATCACCTTCAGCAGCAGTTCTCTCCTTTCTCCATCAGGGTTCCACCTCAAAAATTCACAACTCCCGAAATTGAGTCATTTAAACACACAAGCAGATAAAGCACCGTCAAACCATAACAACCCGGAAAGCGGGCCTGACAGTGCGGAGCTCACCAAGCAATGGGATTGTTTGCTCAAAAGACAGTTGCAGCTAACATTTGGGCACGCTGCCACACTGACTTTAAAAAACGTGGCCCAGTTTCCATTGCTGTCTACCCTGTGTGGTTTCCTCTCCCCACATCTTCTCCCATGCTAAGTGTGACTTCTTTAGTATTTTCACAATGTGATGGGAAGGTTGATTAGAATCTGTTTTCTCCAAAATGAGTTAGCTTAAAATTATTATTCTTAGCCAGTCCTGGTGATACAGGCCTGTAATATCAGTCGCTCTGGAGGCTGAGGCAAGACACTCACAAGTTAAGACATGCCCTATTGGAAGAGTGTAAGGCCAATCCAGGCAACTTAGTGAGACCCTAAGTGGGGGCAGGGGGAGATTAAAAAGTACTGAGCACTAGGGTAGGCTAAGGAGAGATGGCTTAGTGGCTGAGAACTTGTTCAGCTCTTACAGAAAATCCCCTCTCGGCACTATGGGCATCTGCACTCATGCGTACATAGCCCCATACAGATAGACACCCACACACATTCCTGAAAGAACCTGCAGGGGAAAAGTGACAGAAAGAGCTGGGGGTGCACGTCAGTGATGGAGCGCTTGCCTAACCTAACCTGCACAAAGTCCAGGGCTGATCTTCCCCATCACCACAGCAAACAGAAGGGCCTCAGAAGATCACTGTTCTTGTGACAGGTCTACTATTTTTTTTTCTTTTTCTTTTTCTTTTCTTTTTTTTTTTTTTTTGTTTTTTGTTTTTCTAGACACAGTTTGTGTAGCCCTGGCTGTCCTGGAACTTGCTCTGTAGATCAGGCTGGCCTTGAACTCATGGAAATACACCTGCCTTTGCACCCAAGTTCTGGGATTAAAGGTGTGTACCACCACCGCCGACTTCTTTTCATTTTCCTAGGTTACCTTTCTTTTTGTTGATATTTGAACATGTCTATGTCTTCAGAAAATTATTTTTTGCCCTCTGTGTTTGGTGAAAGCATTTCCTCACAGTGCCCCTCTTACCTTTTTGTTTCTGTTTTGCTTTGAGACAGGGTCTCACTAAATATAGCACGGGTTGCCCTCAATCTCACCATGTGATCCAGGCTGTCCTCAAACTTACTTGAAAGTTTTCTGCCCTCTTTCCCAAGTGTGGTAATTACAGACAGGTGCTACCAAACCCAGCTCTGACCATAGCAAACTTATGTAAAATTTTTTATCTTTTTGTGATTATTAGTATTGTACAGTGTATATACATTTATCAAAACTCATCCAATTTATTTTTTAATGTATTTATTCTCTGATAGTGTTACACGCATGTATGTAATTTTTTTTATTATTATTATAATTGAACATCCTGATTCCTTCTTATCCCCCTCCAACTTTCAGTGTACTTTTTGGTAACCCACCGAGTGTAATTTAGGTTACATCCATGTTCATCAGCATGGGGTTATTTATTGGATCATGAGGAGTTTACCAGTAGCTACATCCCCAGAGAAAAAATGGTTTCCACTCCACCAGAAGCCATTAACTAGCAATAGCTCCTCAGTGATGAATGAGCCTGTGTCTACGTTCCTTCTCCATCCATTCTGGGATGTTGAAGGGCTCCATCTTAGTCGGGTCTTCTGCTGGTAACCACAGCTGCTACGAGCTCATGAGAAAATGTGTAATCTTTCTTGTTGCCCAGGAAAACTTATCACGTCTTCTATCATAAAGACTTTCCGGAACATATTTAAGCCTCGTTGCTCATTCCTAAATTTTGGATGCACCTTGTATTGACTTCGTGCATTTTTGTGAGACAGGCACTGAGGCAGGGCCAGAAAAATTGTGGGGACATTAGGAGAGAGAGGAACCATTCAGCCTGGAGTCTGACTAAAGCCTCTTGCCAGCTGACAAGCAATAATTCCAGAACAATGCATAACACTTGCATACATAAAGTTAACATTCCTTTCAGATATTGATATTTTATGTTAGGATAGCAATAACACAGGCCTAATCCTATTAATACATGACCTTGGATAGAGCCTTACTCTTCTTCCCAGACGTACCTGGCAATCTCACACAAAACAGCTTTGTGTACTGCAGACATCCTAACTTCCTGAGTTCCTGCTGTTCAGACTTTTACATCCATTGTAATCCTGTCAGGTACCCCTGACAGGAAACCACCAGAGATAATAGAGCAACTACAGACCCCACCCAAATCCTATATATGACTATTAGAAAAACACTGAGGAGTCCAAACCCTCACTTGGGTCGGTCTTATACTGGGAGAATCATCTTTGGGAAGGCCATGTTCATGCTCTTCAGTGTGGCTTGCTTTCTTCTGAGGTTTTGTTTTGTTTTGTTTTTTTTTTTTCTTCCTAACTCTTGTCCTTAAGCCTATATTAAAACATCTTTAATAAGATCTCTGGCTCTGCTCCTCAAATTCATTCCAGCACGAATCATGACTTGGTCTGGGTTGAGACCTCTGACCTCTTGGGTATTTCCCAGGCTGCTGAGGGAAGCAGTAAGGGGACATTGCACATTCTTGAGGATAGTGGTTCTCAACCTTCCTGATGCTGCAACCCTTTCATACAGTTCCTCATGTTGTTCTGACCCCAACTATAAAAGTATTCTCATTGCTACCTCATAACTATAACTTTGCTCCTACTGTTATGACTGATAGTGTAAACACCTGTGTTTTCTGATGGTCTTAGGTAACCCCTATGAAAAGGGTATTTATACCCCTAGTGGGGTCATAACCCACAGATGGAGAACCAGTGCTTTAGGAGGTTCTGGAATAATTGCACCATCCAACTTCTGCAAATTAGATGCCTTTGCCACCTGCTTTCTTCCCATTTCGTTCTGTAAATCAGTCACAGCTCCATTCTGAGCAAAGGGGCCACTGAGGCCAGACGACTGAAGGGCTGGAATTATATCTCTGTCCCAGCCCTGGCCATAAGTTGTTGTGCAAATCCACCTGTTTGAGTCTTTGATTTTTCATACGGAAAATGAACACTTCTTGAAAGTCAAACTGGTATGCCTTGAAGGGGTGTGGTAAATGATGGCAGAGTGAAAACACCCTAGGCAAACCATTTTACACGCGAACGACGAAGCAAATGGACCTAGTAATTACGTGATTTCTGCTTTATGTTAAGAGCGCTCACAGAGCAGTCAGTCAGACATCACACTTAGAAGGGACAGTAAACTTTATTAAGCATCAACTATACAGAAAATATGTTTTTTTAACTATTTTTTTAGTTGGCATAGAAAATAATGGTCACAGTAAAACGTTTTCATACAGAAATGTCATTGTGCTTTGCTCATATTTACCCCTTACCAACCTCCCCATCCCTCCTCCTACCTCTCTTTTGTTCCTTCTTCAGCCCAAATAGTTCCCCTAGCAGGTTATGTCATACTATTCTGGGTCATGGAAAGAAAATTAGGTAGCAAGAAGCTACAATATATCATTTACTGGTAAGGGGCCACGGTTTAGGTGGTAAGACAAAACCTTCCCAAGAGAAAGAATATGAGATAGAAAGCAAGGAAGACTGTCTCTGCAACATGGGTTCAGTGACAGTGGACATAGGAGAGTTGGCTCAGGGGTCCAGATCCCAGTATGAGAATTTTGTGGAAGGGATCATTTGATAAGAACAGTATGGGGGAAGATGCCACTGGTATAGAACAGAATAGCTGTGGTAAAAATGTAACTAGCAACAGGTTTGGTTGTTTGGAAAAGACTCACATTGTAAGATATAGTTCTGGTGGAGCTGGTAGTAAAAGTATCGCTAAGCATTTTGCTTTGGCCTGATTAGGGGTCAGGAATAAGACGTATGTTGGGAGTTCATGACAATTTGGCTCATGGAAACTTTTAAAAAAAAAATGAGATATGAAAGTATTCATTATATATTTATATCTGAAACAATGCTAATCCACCCACATTAAATAATTCACGGTGAAATTCTTATAATTCCATTCAAATGGAGTAACGAATTGTATTATGTGTTAGGCTGTTCCCACACAGAACCCCCACTTTAGGTGGCCAACAGGAACACCCACTACCGTCATCTCTGTTTGTGAGAGGTCTTTATTCCTTTGCTGGCTTAGTGGTGGCATCCATGCTGAAACTCGACCCTCTCTTCAGAGGCTTCCTGCCGTTATCTTTCCACTATGGGCAGCTCCTGTTACCTGCTCACCTCAGCCTCCTCAGGCCTTTGTCCTCTCACAATTCTCCTGACCAGAATAATCGAGGCTATGTCACCTTTCCAGGTTATTCTTTTATCTCCTCAACAGTTAGAGGGTCAATGACAGGCATAATAGTTGGGACTAATTACCATCCTCCAGAGCCATTACCTTCACCAAGGAACGAAGGGTAGGTACATGACAAGTGCCCAAGGGAGCCCACAGGAGGGAGACGGGGTGGTGAGTAGGCCTAGGTACTCTAGGCCTTGTCTTAGGGACAGCTCATTGAATGAAGAGCCTGCTCATCTCTGTCCTGCTGCTTTGCCTCTGGCAGCAGCTTGCAGAAGCTTCCTGAAGAGCTCTCGTGATCCAGCGCTTCCTCAGACCCCATCAGCCTCAAGCTGGGACTGTAACAACAGTGCCAGAAGAAGGAGATGCCGTAGATTCCCAACAGGCACAAGGCATTGGTCATCACATGCCAGCAGAAGAAGGTGGTGACAAACACGATGTCACTGGTGTCATCATCTTTCCACGGGAAGCCAGAGACCGGTCTAAACAGAATAAAGCCCGTGTGCATCAACCAGGAGCCCATCATCAGGAACAGAAAGTTCTTGACGAGCTGGAGGCGAAAGGACTCGCAGGCCCACAGCTCTGCCGTCAACACCAGCATCAGCAGGAGCACCACCAGGATGAGGAGGGAGTGAACCTGCAGCTCCACCTTTGATGAGACTTGAACATGAGTCACCAGCAGCAGCAGGAGAATGTAGATGCCCAGGACCGTGGCAGCTTTTTCTAGGACCACGCACCTCTGCCGCAGCACGCTCTTGCTCATGACATCTACACAACCGTCTAGGGTGAGGAGGATGAACATGGTGAGGTGCTGCCACTCCTGAGGGTACATAAACCGCGGAGGCATCTCCTTGTTAACCAACACCATCCCATCGTCAAGACAGATGATCACATAAAACGTTAAGAGGGCACCAGTCACTATCTTCAGCCAGCCTCCATAGGGTATTTTCCACAGCTTGGAACATCTCTTTTTATTCTTGGGAAGGTATGAGAGATACACGGGCGAGTCATTGACTATCATGGCCTTGGAGACCACCATTGCCTGATAAAGGCCATAAAAGAAAATGTATAAACCTGGGTAGAAATGACCACCAAACTTCCCGTTCCCCATGAAATCAGAGGTCTATTTGTATAAAAGGTAAAGAATGGAATTCGAGATTTCTTGGCCTTCGTCCCTCTTATGGGCCCCATCAAGTTTCAGTTTTATGCATGGGGATAATGTCTGCCTATCTTTATCATCTCCCTCTGCCCACGTCTCTCTCCCACAGAATGAAAAGTTCTGGACCGGAGCCCTACACCTTGGGTGAGGGCCGTCTCATCACCTCATTCCCGTCTAGTACACGGTGGGTTGACTGGTTGCTGCCAAAGGAGGGGGTGTGAATATTTCTGAAAGTGCACCTGTGCGATTGTGTGCTCTCATCAGCTCTGCTTTGGGGCCCTGCTGGCGTCTCTGCTCAATCCTGCCCACTCTCCCATGGCTTGATCTCTCCTGAGCCTGTCTAGTCCTTGGAGCCCGGTGGTACTGCCTGAGCGTGGAGAGCATCTGGCTGACTCAGTCTGTGTGCATCCCTACAGACTCCTCATCCTTTATTGGTCCGTATTCTGAAGGCAGATATTTATAGCTTCTGTTTAGCAGAGGCCTTGCTATGAGGCTCAGACTAGCCTCTAACTCATGATTTCCCCGCCTTAGTCTCCGCAGTACTGGGATTACAGGTGTGCACCACCACAGCCAGGCAACCTCTGGGTCTGTGCTCACTTATGTAAAGCTCCTACTGAGCTCCTACTTGGCATCTTCATTCTTTTGCAACAGGAAGCTTAAGGGCCGCCAGGAGAGCAGCTCCCTGCCCTTCGGTGTTTCTCAGCTGGATAACAGATGAACTGGCAAAGCCAGCCTCCGAGACCAGTTTTGGAGCACTGTGGCAAAAACGTCATAGTAAAACGCAGATGCAGCTATCTTGAGACATGTCAAGCTGATCAGCTCAGCTACTTAGATTTTTAATGTGAATCATTACTTTCATTATCAAATAAGCTCACCTTTATTCTCTCCTTAGTTATAATTGTCATGTGTCTAACACCTAGGGTCCTAGGAACTAGATGTCAGACAGCTGCATACATAGCGTTTCAACCAAGCCAAGTGTCTTCATACTTTCTGTTTGGTTTCATCTTTGAGACAGTCTCAGGCTGGCCTCAAATGTCTGATCTCACTGCTGCCTCCGTCTCCTAAGTGCTGAGGCTACAGGTATGCACTACCGTGCCTGAATATGTGTGTGTTTGTATAAGTTAAGGTGTAAAATCTATTATACACACACACACACACACACACACACACACACAGACATATACACCCATGGCATGCTTACTGTAGCCAAGATAACCAGCTCATCATCTCACATGGTCACATTTGTTTGTGGCTAGAGCACTTAAATCTACACTCAGCAAATTTCAAATGCATGATATAGTATGATGAGCTATGCTGTACGTAAGAGTTCTAGAACTAATCCATCCCACCTTATTGAAAGTCTGCAGCTGGACCGACATCTCCGTTTCTGAACCCTTCCCACTATTCTTGGCAGCTATCATTTGTTCTCTGCTTCTGTAAATTCAACTTTTTTTTTTTTAAAGACTCTACTTCTGAGTGAGATAATGCAGTATTTGCCTCTATCCTGCCCATTTGACCCATATGGGGCATTCTGGGTCCATCTATGTTGTTGAAGACGACAGACTCTCCTTTGGGGATGAAGAAGATAGATACACAGCATCTTTATAAACTAAGATTTAGCGTGCATAAGGTTTGATTCTATCCTCTCAGATTCAGGCACCCACTAGCAGCATTGGAGCAGACCCCCGCCCCCCATCCCCCGCCCCCCGCCCCAGGTAAGGTGAAACTATTATATCAGGGAAATGTAGTCTTGCAATGCCCAGAAGACAAGGCCATCTTTTCACCAGTGAAAGTACATTGAGTGTGAAAATGCCATAGGAGTGTTTAAGATTGTTCTACAAAGGAACAGTCCTTATTCCATCCTATCCTTATTCCTTCCTATCCTTGAATTTCTTAATATTAATTTCTTTCTTTCTTTAATCTTCCTTCCTTCCTTCCTTCCTTCCTTCCTTCCTTCCTTCCTTCCTTCCTTCCTTCTTTCTGTCTTTTTCACTCAAGTATGGTGTAGACTGGTGAGGAAGTTGGTTTTTCTTTCTTAAAAATTTTCCAAGTGGGTTTCCTAGGAAAGGGAACAGGGACTGTCTCTGACATGAACTCAGTGGTTGGCTCTTTGATCACCTTTCCCTGAGTGGGGAGCAGCCTTACAAGACCACAGAGGAAGGCAATGCAGCCAGTCATTATGAGATCTGATAGGCTAGGGTCAGATGGAAGGGGAGAAGGACCTTCCCTATCAGTGGACTGGGGGAGGAGATGAAGGAGGGGGGAGGGTGGGCTTGGCAGGGGATGAGGGAGGCGGCTACAGCTGGGATACAAAGTGAATAAACTATAATTAATGAAGAATAAATAAAATTTTAAAAATTATTTTATTGTTTTAAACTATATGTAGGTGTGTGTCTTCTGAATGGGAGTATGAGGATGTGAATGGAGGTGTCCACAAACCCAGAGACACTGGATTTCCTGAACCTGAGTTACAGACAGTTGTAAGCCACCTGAAATGGGTTCTGGGAGCCATCTCTCCAGCTCCTTACTTAAACATATGGTGTTGGGGGCTGTGTCACATATGCTATGATGTACACGTGGGATTCAGAGGCTAACTTGCAGTATCCTTCAACCACGTGGGTCTCAGAGAGTGAGCTCAGGGTTGGCAGCAAGTGCCTTTATCTAGTGTACTGGCTCTCAACCTGTGAGTCACAATCCCTTTGGCAACCCTCCATCTCCAAAAATATTCACACTGCAATTGCTCACAGGAGCAAAATGACAGTTATGATGGAGCAAAAATGATTTTATGATGGGGGTTGCCACAACATGTGTTAAAGGGTCGAAGCGTTAGGAAGTTGAGAACCGCTGAATTCTAGTGGACCATCTTGCAGACTAGGATTTCTTTTCTTTTGTATACTTCTTGACTATATCCCTTACCCCTTTGCAGCTAGACATCCCCTGAAGACTGAGTTCCTGCCAGCATAACATGAAAGTGAGTGATGTCTGTTACTGTCTGTTCTCACCCATAAAATCCTCCCTCACGTTCTGTGACACTTTCCTTTCTTTTAGCTTTATACAAAGTATCTCATCTTACCTAAGAGTTATGTTGAGCTCAGCATGGTGGAACACATCTTTACTCCCAGCATTTGGGAAGCATAAACCGTGGATCTCTGAGAGTTCAAGGCCAGTCTGATCGACAGAATAAGTTTCAGCCAAATCAGGACTATCAGACCCTGTCTCAAATAAATATAATAGTAATAATAATAATAATAATAATAATAATAATAATAATAATAATAATAATTAGAGTTCTATGCTTTTGAGAATGGGTCAAACATGTTCATATGTTGGGTTATACATTATATGATGGTTCATTTCCATTATCAAATTGAACTGAGAGATGTTTAGGAAATCAGTGACCTGTATCTGTGGGTATGTCTGTCGTAACATTTTTACTATAGTTTGTGCATGTGTGTGTGTGCGAATATGTGAGTATCATGGCATGTGTGTGGAAGTCAGAAGACAGCATTCAGGAGTCAGTTTTCTCCTTCTACCATGTTGGTCCCAGGAATTAAACTCAGATGGTTGGTCTTAGTTCAAGTATCCTCACTGGCTGAGCCATCTCACTATCCACTTGATGACATTTTCAGTGGCAGTTAAGTCTTAAGAACTCTGACCTAATCGATGATTTAATTCACTAATGAATTTGAAATATGGACAAACTTGTTGCTAGGAGACTGATGGAGCCAAGCTGAAGGAAGTGGGTCCCTGAGGCTGGCTGTCTTCTCTCTGCTTCCTTTGTTTCCTGAGATGTGAGATGAGCAACTTTTTAAAAACCATCCATTCCCAATGACACATACTCTGCTTCACCTCTGTCGAGCCAAACTTAGCAGAAACCTCTGAAACCATGAGCCACAAAAAGTATTCTGTCCTTTAAATGGTTTATCTCAGGTGTTTGTCATAGCAATGAGGAATCTGACAAACGCATGTGAATAAAAGTTCTTGTTGGCATTGTTAAAGAGTGGAAATTATCACTTTGCTAAAACAGTTAGCTCACCAAACCAGTACAAAATGATATGTTGTCTTCTAGAAAACTCTTAACAAGCACACAAGCAAAACTGTGATTTAAAAAAAAAAAAAAAAAAAAAAAAGGAAAAAACATGGACAATATTATAGCTGATAGTAATCGGCATTAGCCTTTTGTTGTAAGACTTTAGGAAGGCAGAGCTGTGGAATGAAAAGACTGAATGACCGGAAATTAAAAGATGAGGATTCTAGTCCCAACTTCTCCTAACCAGCAGACTGCTTCTTCTTCCAATCTTTTTAAAGATTCTGTTTCTTTACCACAGAAAGGTAACAGTTTTGACCTCTATGTTCTCTAAGTAAGAAGGGGTGTAATTTTGTTTTGTTTTGTAACAGGATCTCACTGCCCTGCCTAGCCTAAGTATCACCGGTAGGCCAGGCTGCCCTCTGCCTTCCAGCTCACAGAGATCCGGCAGCCTTTGCCTCCTGAGGGCTGGGATTACAGACGTGCAACATATGCTCAGATTTATAAGTAAGTTTTCTTAAGTGTCCTTCGGGGAAAAAATACAGAGAGAGGATAAAATGGAGCCTTTATCATTCCCCGCAAGTTTTCATTCTTAGCCAATGAAAAGATACCGAGAAAACCTCATGATCATAATAGTCAAAAGGAAAAAACAAAACAAAACAAAACAAAACAAACAAACAAAACAACTCCAAAGGTTCTGTCTGTTTGTCCAGACAGAAGAGGTACAAAGGGAATATAATGACAGAGAGGACCAGAGAGTAAAGTTTCCTGGTAGTCTCCTTGGCTCTTTTCTTGGCTGTGGGCAATCCTGGGCTACTCTGGGTAAAAGTGGCCCCTTGTAGCCAAGTCTATGGTTCCCCTAGGTGTTTTCCTAGTGAGATTTCACTTCAGAGCGTCTCAGTTCCATGTGGGACAGACTGTTAAC